ACGTTTTTTTTTTTTTTTTTAAATAAAAATAAATAAATAAAAACGGTAAAAGCGTCGAAGCAAATAAAAAAAAATTTGATTTAAAAAAAAAATTTTTTTACGTGGGAATAGAAAAATTTATTTTTCCGTGGGAATAGAAAAAATTTTTTTTTTTATTTAAATTGAAAAAAAAAAAAAAAACTCACCGAGAGATCCCCACCGTAAAATGGATGAATAACAAAAGTTTCGTTTCCAATATGTATGACTCCAGATACGCCGTTACACGTATGAAAAGCTGCCGCCGCTCCTGGATAATCTTTAACTGTTCCATGATAATAACAGTGTTCTATTTCCTGGAAATTAATAATCAAAATAATAATAATAATTTACGAATCAAATAAATCCATTAATTATTAATTTTTTTTTTTTTTTTTAAATCGCGGGAGGGGAAAATAATAATGATAAAAGGATTCAATAAATTTTCATTTTTATTGGAGGGGGGAGAAGGAGGAAGGGAGATGGGGAATGGGAAAAAGGAAATAATTAATAAAATTTTTTTTTTTGCTGTGTGATATCGAAACGATTTAAATTTGGTGACCGATTCGACGACCGGAAATGGTTAAAATTTTATCAACAGAAAATTAAATTTTATTTTATTTTTTTAACTAATAACGCAAACACATAAATTCTAAAAATAAAAAAATTTTTTAATTTAAAATTTTACTAAAAATCTATAAATCATAAATTTTTATTTTTTTTTAAATTTTCTTTTTAATTTTCCATAAATTTTCTCAATTTTAAAATAACCTTGAAAAAAAAACTGGAAACTGTTTCCGTTTTTTCTTTTTTCGTTTATTATAATTTTAATATTTGTTTACGGTTGAATAATCAAAGAGTGTTTTTAAAATTAAAAAAAAAAAATAAGACAATGTAAATGAATAAAAGAAGAAAATGAGAGAAAAAGAGAGAAAGAGATGAAATCTTGATTTGTTTATTAAGTCATTTTGGAAGAAAGAGAAAGAAAAAGAAAAAGAAAAAAAACTCAACGTTTTGTTAAAACAATCTAATAAATAACTTTTAAAAATTTTAATCTGACTTGGAGGATGCTAAGAATAGAATAGAGAGAGAGAGAGAGAGAGAGACAGAGAGAAAGGAAAAAAGGTAAAAAAATAAGAAACGGATGTAGAAAAAAAATAAGAAAAAATGACGAAATGGAAAAAAAAAATATGAATTTTTATCCAAAGAAAAATTTTTTTTTTTTTTTTTTCATCGACGAACAAACGACTCGATTGAAAATTTTTCCATGACGTTCTAGAAAAATAAAAAAAAAAAAAAAAACCAAAAAAATAAAATTTTCTTTTAAAACGTTTCGAATCCCCCGCTCCCCTACTCCTTCCACCCTCCTCCTCTTTCTCCTCCTCACCCCCTCCCCGAGAAAAAAAAAAAAAAAATTATTTACGAACGTCGAATGAAATATCATTATTATATCATTTAAATAAAAAAATTTTTTTTTTACACTTGCATATGACGTTGCTTTTATTATTATTATTATTATTTCACGACGTTTATTTTCCCTTCTCTCTCTCTCTCTCTCTCGTTTTCATCCCGATATTCCCTGGATCGTTCCCTTTTTTTTTTTACTTCTCAAAAATTTTTTGTAATACGTATTTAACGTTCGATATACATATAAATTTTTTTTTTTCGTTTGTTTGTTTTGTTTGTTTTGGATTCCATATTTTATTGGCTGTCAATTGTAATTCCAAATTTATTTTATTTTTTTTTTACTTTTTCTTTTCTCCGAATGATTATGTTTTCCCTCTCTCTCACCCCCTCTCTCTTTTTCTCTCTCCTGTAAAATTTATTCCCTTTATTTATTTATTTTTGTTTCGCGTTTTTGTCAACAATTGCAAGCAACAACATACACATAAATTCTTTTATCTAATTTAACTTCTTATTTATCGTATCGTGATTGTCGCTGTTTGTGTTTGTTTGTTCGTTTGTTTGTTTTAAACATTATATATTAAACAATCGTAAAGTTTATTAATTATTAAAACATTTTAATTTATTTTAACTATTATAAAATATATATATATGTATGTATGCAAATTATAAAAAAAAAAGTTTGAAATCTTTTATTTATTAATAACAAAAGGAATCGATGATAAGAAAGAAAAAGAAAAGAAATGATAAGAAAAATGATAAGAGGAAAAAGGACAAAAAATGTCATGACGTAAATTTTTTTTCGTTTAAAAAGTGAAGAAAAAATTAAAAATAAAAAAATTTTTTTTTTTTTACTTTTTTTTTATACGCGTAAATACGTGGGAGGAATGGAGGGGGAAGGGGTAAAAGAAGGAAGAAAGAGAGGGGTAAAAAAAAAAGAAAATGGCGATTTTTTAAAAAAATTCTCCTCCCCTTTCCTCCCTTCCTCCCACTCACTCGCCCACATTAAAAAAAAAAGAAAAAAATTCTTCAAACTATATTTTTTATTTGAGATTTTCAAAGAAAGTTTTTTTTTTCTTTTTCTTTCTTTTTCTTTTTCATTTTTTTTTCTTTTACTTCCGTTTCCGTTTTACTCGTATAATTTATTTTTATAAAAATTTTTTCTTTTTTTTTTTTTTTTATTTTCATTAAAAGAAAAAAAGAAAAAAAGTTTTAAATAATTTACGATTGTTATGTTTAAAACAAAAAAAAAAAAATGAAAACTTAATCGGAAAGCAAAAAAGAAAATTTTTTTTTTTTTTACTCTTGGCAAAAATTAATAAAAAAATTATTATTATTATTATCATTATTATCATTATTAACATTTGTCTTATTTTTTTAACGATAAAATATTTAACGGTAGAGCAAAAAAAGAAAATTAGTAACGTGACGCAAAACGCAAATCGAATCGTTTTTTTTTATAATAGGACCGAACGGAAAACCGGAAACAGAAAAGAATGAAAAACTAGAAAATCTTCATAAAAACTAATAATAATAATAATAATAATTGTAAAGAAATATGAAAAGAATAAATGAAATCGAAAAAAGAATAAAATAAAACAAAGGTTAAAAAAAAAAGAAAAACGTTAGAGAGAAAATTTAAAAATCAAATTTTTGTAAAAATAATTAAAATGGCGACGATGCGTGTAATTATGTAAATTTTTTCTCTTTTTAATAATTGCATATCCGATAATTCAATTTTCTCTCTAAAAAAAAAAAATTAAATTAAATTAAATAAAATTTTCAAAATGGTCGCTAATAGTAATAATAATAATTTCCGGTTGAATTTTTACGATTATTATTATTATTATTATTATTATTTCAATTTTTTTTTTTTTAAATCTGAAAAAATTTTTACGTTTTGGCGACGACATTCATAATCAAAATTAAAATTTTTTTCCGCCTTTTTTTTTTTTTTGAAATTTAAATTTATTTAATTCCTTTTTTTATTTTATATTTTTCATTCGGGATTTTCAAAAGGTTTTTACTTTTTCCCCTTCTCTTCCCTCCCCTCCCTTCTCCTCTCCACTTCCCGTTTTTCCAACACTCCTGAATAAATTGTGTTAATCAATTAAAATTAATATAGAAAAAAAAAAATTTTTCGCCTTGTGAAAATGTGAAGGAAAAAAAAGGAAAAACAGGAATTCTAGAAGAAGGGGAGAGGGAAGGGAGTAGGAGAAAAAATAAAAATTATTAACGTGAAATTTATTTTGAATTTAATTTCCGGTTTAAAAATTCCGGTTAAATACAACATTTATTTATTTATTTTTTAAATTAAGATATAATTATTACGTAATTATAAGTCGTAACGAAAAAAATAAAAAGGGTTCAAAGGTTAAATTATGGTTAATTTTTAATAATAATAGTGATAATAATGATGAAATTTAAAACTTACCGGTGCTGCTATCTGTTCAGCTCCATTTTGAAGATAGTGTTTTTGTACCAGATTAGGAGCCAAAAGTTGACTGGAACCAAAAAAAAAAAAATTTATTATGTTTTTGTTCTGGAACTGTGAAGAATTCTGGAAAATATTAAATCCGGATGAAAAATAAATAAATAAATAAACTTACATAAAAAAAAAAAAATGGCGGCGGGGAAAAAAATTTCTTATTTATTAAACGAAAATTAATTTTTTTCTTTCGAAAGAAATTTGTTTTATTAAAATCCGATTGGAAAATTTTTTTTTTTTTTTAAATAAATTTTCCTTTTAATTTTTCTCATTTTTTAAAATTATATTTATTATGATAATACTTTCGTAACTGAATACATAATTTTTTTTTTTATGTATAAAATTATTCGTTAAAAAAAAAAAAAAAAATTCGAAAACGAAAAAGTTTGACGTGGAAATTATTTAAATCAATCCATCAATCGATCGATCGATCGATCTATCGATGATCGATTTATTTATTGATTACCTTTGCGTAAAATTTAAATAAAAAAAAATATGAGAGAGGGGGAAAATTTTTTTTTTTTTTTTCTCTTAAAGTTTGGAAAAGAATAAAGTTTAAGAAAAAAAAAAAAGTCATTTGAGACTAAAGTTTTTCCTTTTTTTTTTTTGTTCCTTTTTTTAAGGATGCTTGTAAAAGGAAAAGAAAAAAAAAAGGATTCATACGTCAAAATCTTTTTTGCCTTATGTGTGCATCATAAAAAAAAAAAAAAAAAGAAATCTCTGGAAGAAAAAAAATAAGATAAGAAAAAACATTTTTAACTGTCTTTTTTTTACTTTTAGTTTAAACCAAACTTTAAAATTGTTTTCAAAACAAATAATAATTTTTTTTTATTTTATTTTTATCCATGTTAACGTCAATTGTTGTTAAATAAAAAAAGGAAAAACTTTTTTACTTTTGAAAAATATATATATATATAAACAATCAATGGAAAAATTTCGAGTGTTCTAAAAACCTAAACAAGCATGTCTTACATGATTATTATTATTATTTGAATAAAAAAAAAATTTTCTTTCAATTTTTACACTTAAATTTTTCCTTTGATTTCCTTTGAATTTAAAATAATTTTTTTCGTTATATCGGAGAAAAAATTAAATTACATTATTATCATTATTATTTTATTTATTAAATTATTAAAAAGAAAAAAAAATTTTTGTTTGTTTGTTTGTTTTTTTCCCGAGTGTGTTGGGTTGTTGTTGTTTTGTTTTTTGTTTAAAAATAAACTTTTGGGTTTCGTTTTGTTTTGTTTTTGTTTTCCTTTCCTTCCTTTTTTTTTTAAACCTTTTTGTTTTTAAAATTTTCTTTTAGCCAACAAAAAAAAACCCAAAAAGTAAAATTTTAAAAGGTTGAAGACAACAACAACAACAGGTTTTATAACCGGAAAAACCGCAAAACGACAGCAAAACATCGGTATAAACAAAAAACAAAAACGGTTAACCCGTATCATTTCTCCCATATAATCATCATCATTATCATCATCACGTTATAAAAAATTTTTTTTGCTCCTTCCCGTTTTAATCCAAAATTTAAAATAAAATTTTTCATTTATTTAAAAATAAATAAATGGAAAATTTTTTTTTTTTAGCGGGAAAATTTTAATTTTTATTTTTTTAAAACTATTAAAAAAAAATTGTATTCAACTAATAATATTAATAATTATAAAAGTTTTTTATAAAAACCCATCACGTGTTTTACTTAATATCCTCACAGCTAAATACATATAATTTTAGTTTTGTTGTACAATTTTCGTGGGGGAAAAAAGGGGAGAAGGGGGGAGAAAACTTTTTAAAACATTTAAAATATATATATGTCAGGCATTTTGAAATTATTCTCTAAAATGGAGTCTAAAAAATATTTTTAACGGATAATTATTTATACCTTTAGGCTTATTAACTTTTACTGAAAGTATTATTATCATTATCATTATCATTTGTTTATATATATATATATATATATATATATATATATATATAT